ACTTGTTGAGTTTTTTCTTTCCTTACTTATTTTTGGATTATAAGAGGCAATTGCCTCAGTGAGTCAGGCTTGTATTTATTTCATGGTTCATTTCTACACCAGGCTCTGTCAGGGTCTTTTCTTGTTTCCCTCTCATTCTGTCCATCATTCAGTCCATTCCCTTTGTTGTTGTACCTAATTTCTACCCCTCTCCCTCCCATCTCCTTACTTATGTAACTGTGATATTTTTTCTGTGTGTCTACATGCGTGTTCATATATGTTCAGTTGTATGTGCATATGTGAAGACCAGTAGACAACCTTGGACATCATCAGAGACACTGTCTGTGTCCTTTTAGACAGGTCTGTCATTGGCCTGGAGCTCATCAACTAGGCTAGACTGTCTGGCCAGAGGAACTGAGGAATCTTGCTGTCTTTTTTTCCAGCTTGGGGATCACAAATATACCCTCCATGTCTGCCATTTTTTTACATCTATTCTGGGGATCAATCTCAGACCCTCATGACTACAAGGCAAGCACTTCACTGACTGAGCCATTTCCCCAGCCCTAGTGTAACTATTGCAATAAAATTTGCTGCGTGTTTTGGAATATGCATGCTTTGCTTGTTCTCGGTATATGTATGGTTCAGAAAATTTCTGGGTGGATATTTCCTTCCTTCCCTTTTTTCCTCAGTAAGCAACATGTCTAGGCACACATGTGTTGGTATGTGTAAGTCCAATCCATCTTGCCTAGTTTTTGCTTATCTGTTTCATTTGCATATGTTTGGCTTGTTTGGTTATTTGTGAGGTTGTAGAGCATTTCATCAATTTTTTTTAAATAAATGAACTATACCACATACTTGAGGCTTTTTGAAATACCTGGACATCAGACATTTTCATTTGGGGTTTTGGAGTCTTTGGTTGACAAAAGAAGCAGGTGAAAGCCCAGCCTGCTAAGGAGCTAAACATTGGAGTAAAAGGATCAGATATGGTTATTTCTCAGATGCCCCTTTAAGTGTGTGTGAAGTTGAGCTTCTTCTAGGCAATGAGCCTTGGCCTCTTGTGAGGCTGTGGACTAAAGGGGTGATAGCAGGGTGGAGAGGACCTTCTGGACACCTGAGCCTCACCAGGCTATTTAGGTGGCCTCCCAAAGGGCTAGTAAGTAAAGCATGTAGAGCATGTAGCTTCTGGGAAAGGGCAGACCCCCCTTTGTACAGCCGCTGACATGCACCATAAGGCTATGTTTCTTTCCTGCCTTCGAGCTGAGCTGCCTTTCCAGGAATCTTCTCCATGTTCAGTGTGCTTTAATTTTCTCCCTTCAAATTGCTTTGCTTTTGACAAGAATGGAAACAGGATCTGCCAGGTCTCCCTGAAGCCACTCGTGGGATCACATTCAATAGTTTGTTTCTCCGAACTTGGTGTCTCATTGCAACCCTGAGAATCAGACACAACAAACATTATTCTCGTCATGTGGGATAGAAAATCAAGGAACCATGAACTTGACTCTAAGGTGGAAATGCATTTTCATCCAACAAGAGCTTCATACAGGGATGGGATGTAGCTCAGTTGAAAAGGTATTTTCCCAGCATGAATGAGGCCATGAGGATCTGAGCCCTGCAAGAACTACCAAGCCTGTGCTTGGCTTCTGTAGGCCAAAAACTTGGGAGACGAGTCAAGAGTCAGATGTTCAAGGTCAACTTCAACTAAATAGGGTGCTTGCATCCACTCTGAGCTAGATATGTCTCAAGAGAAGAAATTGGAGGAAAGTAAGGATAAAGAGGGCAAAATCACTTTGGTGTGGAGAGGTGGTGGCTTAGAAGGTAAGGATGCTTTTGTTTATTTTATAAACATGAGGACTGAAGTTTAAATGCCTAGCATCCCTGCACAAAGCCAGACATGGTTGTGCATGGACCTATAAGTCCAGAGATGCTGAGGAAATGCTTGCTGGGGCTTCCTGCCCATTAACCTATCTTCTAGTTCAGTGAGAGACCTTGTATTAAACTGATAAGGTAGAGTGATAGAACAGGATATGCAGTGTCCTCTGGTCTCCATGAGTACATACGGGGATGTACACGTGTACACACACACACACACACACATACACACATGAAAGAACTGACAATAATCCTCAGAAAGTGCTTCCTAGTCTTTGTGAGATGGAGTGAAAGGTCACCTTGTCACAAAATGGATAGAAGACAGTGCAGAAGAGCTTGGTAGGTGTGGCTGAGGCTGCTGAGGCTCATTCTGTGTCATTGTCAGTCAGAGTATTATGGTGGCTTGGATTGGAACCTGGCTTCACTGGTGACTTAAGATGGTTCCCTATGCTGGTATTCTGACTTGAAGAGGAGTGGAAAGGCCAGCCAAGGCTGTTTTTCTTCCTGGAGAGACACTGTGATTCCTAAGCCCGTGAGCACCTCACCTGCTCAGCAAAGGTTTTCTAGAAGTAAAAAGTTGCCTGCAGGAAAGTCTTTCAACTCTCAAGGAGCACTGCATGTTATTCTTCGAGAAGCATAGGTTTTAAAACTTTTCTTAAAATTACCAAGAATAAAAAGAAGGTGTTTTTTTTTTTGTTTGTTTTTGTTTTTTTTTTTTTTTCCCCTCAGAGTAGGCCTTCAGTATAACTCTGAAAGGGCATCCATTCTTTTCATTTTTGAAATGAATTATTTGATGAGTCAATGAATGTCTAGCTATGCCTCAGAAAAGTCAGGGCTCTTCCCAAATAAATTATGCACTATTCGTGAGATGAGAAGGCGGCTCTGCCTGGTTGATGCTTTCAAGTATTTATTACTTCAATATTCACAACATACAATGCAAACCCTCGATGACCTGAGATGTGTCAGTAAGCAACATTATGGTGAAAAGTCAGCAAGTTGAGTGACTTTTTACTTTCCCTAATGACCCCAATGCAGCAGGAGCCACATGTAAACTAAATGCAAGAAGAGGTAGCTGGCAGCCACATGTGTGCTGTGTTGGAAATTAGACATCAGGTGTAAAGCATAACAGGTGTGTGTCATCCTGAGTTGACAGCTTCATTGTTCCTGCATCGAAACTGCTGCTTGTCTGAAATGGAGAAAGGGGAGGGCCAGCAGGGACCACTGTTGTATTTGGTAGTAGATAAACACCAGTGTATTATGAGTATTCATCATCAGAAACACATCTGCGTTTTAGCATTTTAAAAGTAAATTTCATACCCTCAAAGTTAGCACATTTTAAAACTGTTACCTTGTGGGTAGCTATTTGTATGCAGAGGGTGGCTAATGGCATGGGTGTTCTGAAGTGAATAAGCATCTATGTATATTCATTTAGCACCCATTAATGAGTACTAGACATCAGTGTGAACACTAGGGGCTTAAATAACTAAAACTCATTCCCCCATTGTGTTAAGTAACTGCTCCTTGAAGGAAAAGACCAATAATGGAGTAGTTAGGACAAGCTACTGCAAAGGACTCTGACAGTAAAATTCATCACTCCACTGCTCTGCTGTCATAGGTTTCTATGACAGTGAGAAAATGCCAGGACCAAAGGAAAGAACTTATTTGGCTTATATATCCAGAGTCACAGTATACTGAGGGAAGTCAGGGCAGGAACTCAAGGCTGGAACCTGGAGGCAGGAACTGAAACAGAGGAAATGGAGGAGTGCTGTTTAGGCTTGCTGTTGTTGGCTCTCTCAGCTGGCTGTCTAAACACCTCAATGTCCAAGGCCAAGAGTTGTCCTACCATGCTCTATTGAGGTCCAACAGCTCCAAACACAAGAAAATCCCAGTTCCCCACACCCTATGTTCCACTTCCAAAAGATGTTGCTTGTGCTGTTCTGTTGCGCTCCACATAGCTGGATGCTCCTCCTCCTTCAGCTCTATTAAAGTGGGTCCCCCCCCCCACTGTTACTCTATTGCAGTCTTCCTGGCAGTTAACACAATCCGTAATTATCTTTAAATCCACCAGAGAGAAAAATTGTCTGAAATCAAGACTTTTTGTGCAATTTAGAACTGAGAGAGGGGGATTGGATTCTGAAGTTTGCAATGTAGGTGTCTTTTCTTCTGCTCCCAAACAAATACTTAATTAAATTGCTAAGGTATGATTACCCAATCACTTGTAGGCAGCAAATGCAGTCATTTTCTCCGCCAATTTTGTTGATCAGAATCGATGTGTCTGGAAGATAGATTGGACTCCATTGTGAAGCAAATGTTTTAAAAATAAGATGTGTTAACCAAATCACAGTAGGGTCACAAAACAGGCAGCCAGCCAATCCCAGGATGTTCCATTATTAAGGATAAGCCTCTCTTTGCAGAAGTGGTAAGGTAAAGAAGAGGTACAAATAATTATAAAAGAGCAAATGCTGGAAGAGAAAGAAAAATTAAATATTAAGAGAACAGCTCTAGTGTAGGATTAGCCTGCACTTAGACATGGAAAGAATGAAAAAAGTGAAGGCCTTGGGAGTCCTGGGGCAGTGCTGTGGGAAGAAGAGGAGGGAAGACACGTGGGGAAAGATGGAGGAGTGGCGAGCAATGTGTTGGGTATGATGGGGAGAAGGAAGGAGGAAAAGAAGGAGAGAGATCATAAAGCACTAGGCCTCTGTGTGGTCTGGTTAAGGGTAGCCAATGACATCCCTCCTCAGCTTTTCCTGAAGAAGCTGGCGAGGGTGGGCAGAGCTTGCTGGGCCTGTGCACACTGTAGTGTGATTATGGACAGCCAGGCAAGGGGATGAAGGTCTTGGCATTTCATTAGACAGCCCATATTTGCACAGAAAATTATGATTTCCTTCCCTGTGACTCCCATTACCCTAAAGCCATCAATTTCCTGTTCCAGATCTCTCTCTTTTCTTCTCTCTTCTCTCTTCTCCCTTCTCCCTTCTCCCCCCCCTCTCTCTCTGGGCATGGTGTGCATTTCTTTTGGTGTCAATTCTGTGTATGGCATTACAGGAGACGAAACAACCTGTATCTTCCTGTAAATTCTAAATCTTTGAATGCAAAAGGTGGATAGTCTCTTCTATGATAGGCAGGTCACTGACATTGTTGCTTGTCTGCAGTCTGTCACAAGTCCTGTGCAAGTTGCTGGGGTCCCACAGAGAAACACTGTCTGGCCTGCAGAGCCCCACTGCAAGTGCTGAGAGATGGCAGCTGTGAGAGCACCTGTGGCAATGGATTCTACAACAAGCAGGGGACCTGTATAGGTAAGTACCAGGCTAGGATGCCAAAGCAGCATCTCCTTTATCTTTCAACATTCCCTGTATTCAGATCATAGCATTGATATGCATCTTTTTCTCAATGAATACATGCATGACTGCTGACATTCACTTTCCGTTGTCATTTGTATATTTTTGTAAGCAAGTGGACCCTCCTTTAACTACCCTGGTGGGTTCGTAGACTTGAGGTATTCATTCTCTCCTGGCCCAAACAACTTAATATTCACAACTCTGTGGAGAGAGGGATGGAATCCCCATTGGGACATTTCCTTAAATCCCAAACATCATCCATACCAGACCACTTCCCTAATGTAAGTGGAGCAGAGACCCATGCATGCCAGGCTGGGTAGACCCACATTTGTTTTGGTATCACTGTCTTAAAGTTAAATTGATCACTGTCCAGTACTTTTCATGGTCATACTGTGATGACAGCCAGCCCAGTACATCCCTCGTGTGCCAGGCATGGATACCAACCACCAAGAGGTGTGGAAATGCAGCAAAAGCACAGATTTGGGCATAACTCATTCTACCATCCCTCCAGTTTCCTACTTGTAAAATGGAGATGGAACCTAACTCCCATGGTAGACAGAATAGTGACACCAAAGCTGCCACCATTTAAGGCCATGAACCTGTGAGCACATAATTGAGTGGGTAGTTGGGTCTTTGCAGGAATGAATAAGTAAAGTATCTGGGGATGGGGATCATGTCCTGGAGCATCAGGTGTGATAATGAGGCAGCCCGGCAGAGTTGGAAAACATTTGAGGATGGATGCAGGGGTTAGGGTGATGGGATAGTACAGGAAGGATATCCTAGCATGAGCATGCCAAATATGGAAAAAGTCATGGGAGTGAATTCTCCAGGGGCACTAAGAAATGCAGTTGAATTAAGACTTTGAATTTTAGAACTTCTAACTTCCAACCAACATTATAAGATAGTAGATTTGTGTTGTTTCAAACCAGGGTTCATGGTACTTTATCATAGCAGACACTGAGTCATACCCAACTAGGAAGGCACAGAATAACTGCCGTCAGTGCTCCATGTTTCATGTTAACAATGACTTCACTTGATAGATGTCATCCTCACAGTTCAGATGAAGAAGCAAAAAGAGTAGGAAACAAACATGCCTTGGGTCTCATAGCTAATGAGAGTCAGGAGTAGCTCTTTGGGCTCTGGACTATACTTGGTCCAGAACCCACTCTGCTGTTCACTGTAATATGATACTACCTTATCCACCTCTGCCTACTTCCCCTTCTCCTCCTTCTCTTGACCCTTCTTTGTTTCTCTCCTCCTTCTTTCTGTCTTCAGATGAACTGGCCGATTCTGGGGATGTTGTTAAAACCCATAGGTAGCAGTGTCCTGACAGTGGGTAAAAGGTTTGAACTGAGTTGAGTGATTGTTGGACCTACTGAAGATTATTCTGACTATACTGGGGTCCTGCTAATCCCTAAGAATGTGCCACCCCTAATTGTTCTGAGTTGTTCTTCTGTTCACTGGACAAGAGAGCAATGGGGGATCTGGTGACTCCACTTGTATAGGGAAGAGAAAGGCCCCTGGCAGCTGCTTGCTTAAGGTTTTGAGGAGTCCCTAGCTCTGCTGGGGTGCAGGCTTTCATATGGTGTGGCTCCATGTAAGGACAAAGAGAGAGGCTAGGCTGCCACTGACCTCAGCATGTTAAACTTTCTGCTATTATCACTTTCCTGTTCAATTAAGTCCAGTGTATTCTCCAAAGGTGGACAGATGTCAAATTTGTGCTAATCTTAAGGCCTAAAGGCATTTACACTTTAATTCTCCAGGGAGGCTTCTTACACCATGGCAGAGTAGCAGTGTCACTGTTCTGCTATGGAGACTAGCTTGTGTCTTCTGCTGGTGACATGCATTTAAAGGAGGAGAGAGTGCAAGCCTTGGGGAATGAGGAATTGGCATTTACTTTGGCTCAGGGGTTCACTGTAGGAAGCCTGTGTTCCCTGTTGACTGCAAGGATTAAACTAAGATGCCAGTGTGCTGGCTGGTGCTGCACAGGATTGACTATGAGGACTGCTGCAGTTTTCAGAAGATAGCCCGAATTCCAGAATGAGCTGCATGTCAGCCAGTGACATTTTAAGACTCTGTCACCAAGATCCAAAAGTTAAATTAAGTTAAATTTAAATTAAAACAAAACATCTAAGCACTTGGGGGAAGCAGGTATTGCATCTGCATGGATTTTGAAGTTTGAAGAATGTCTGAAGTCTTCTCGGCACAAAGTTAGATCATGGTTGACTGGGGATCCAGCAATGATCAGTAATCTCTGCCCACACCACATGCTTTGGGGCAGATGATGCTATTGCCACTGACCTTGGGGCCCTCGAAGACAGAAAACTGCAGCTTACGTTTTCACAGCGGTGTTGGAGCCTTGAAGTTTGTGTCACCTGACTTTAGGAATAGTCCTATTTTCCAAACAACCAAGAACCAAACCACCGATTGGTATCTGAATGTTGATTAGTACTTCAGATGCTGATAGTGGTGACTTATTTCCATTTCAGATTAGTGATAGTCAAGATAGAGGCTGGCTGGTGTTGGTTTAATTATTGGTAACTCGATGGCCTGTGTCTGTAATATCACAAAATCGGGTGTTGTGGAGCCCCCAGCATAACCTTTCAACGGTGGCATGTTCCACCTGCTATTACCATGCCCATCTGTGGCCCTTGTCTTGGTTTCTGATAGACAACCCCACCCCCCCCATTTCTCCTTTTCCCTGTCCTTGTCCCCACCTTTTTTCTTTCCTCACCCAGATAACTACTTGAATTCCTAAAATTTAATCTAATTTTTTACTTTATGTATGTGAGTTTTTGCCTGCCTGTATGTATGTTCATCGTCTGTGTACCTGATGCTCATGGAGGTCAGAAAAAGGCACTGGAGCCTGGGAACCAGAGTTATGGCTGGGAACCCAACCTAGGTCCTCTGCAAGATTAGCAAATGCTCTTAACCACTGACCCATCTATCCACTCCCTAAAGCTTTTTAGAGTTGCTTTTGTTCTTAGGGGCTTTTCTAAACAGTGTTTCATTTTGAGTGCATACATATTTAACGGTGTCACACAATAGCATGTTCAGGGCTTTTGCTGTCCCTTGGTTTTCTAACTCAGCGCTATCTTTTCAGGGTCTACTGGCCCTTCACTTCTCGTGGTTGCAGAGCACTCCCTGGTACACCTCCATCACTCTTCCTGTCTCCGAGTGCCTGGTCTCCTCCACTCTCTCCACCCTCCTGTTGTCACCAGAGAGCATCCGTGAACAGCCACATTCCTGCCCCTTGATGAGCTTATCTGGAATGTTTCCTGGGACTTTGGCCAGGAGCAACCTTGCTGGTTTATTGATTCTTCCTGGGCTTTATTTGATAAACTACTATCAGGCTGCTCTCCTGAATAGCTGTGCAATCTCCAAGATTGGAGATTCTGTCATCTCCATGTGGTGCCCATCACTAGAGACCACCAAACTCCCGAGTTTTCCTGATTACTAGACATAAAAAGACATTGACTTCCCACTGTATAAGTCTGCTTTTTAATTTTTTACCCATTTTTCTATGGCTTTTTCTGCCTTCTGTGCAATTCCTTATTATTTTATAGATGTTAATTTTTTCACTGTTCTGTTTTGCTGTTTTCTTTTCTTTTTTTGGTGTTGGGGATTGAGCATACTAGGCAAATATTACTTCTCCGCTACTTCTTAGCCATCTCCTTTTAAATATGAATATATTTCCCGTTATCTTTGAATATGATATCCTCTATTGAGCATTGTTTCCCTGTTTTCTATTGATTTAATTTGCTCTTTGACAATTTTATACATATGTGAAGTATATTGTAACAAACATTTAACTCATTTTTGTTATTAATCTCCACTTAAAAACTTTACTGTTGAATTTTTAAGAGGATAAGCCACTGACATTCATAAATTAACTGCTCTACATTTTCTTCCATTAATTTAGCAATGTAAATTTAAGTTGCTGACCCCTCGAGATCTCATTTATCTCTGTGGCTTTTGAAGCCATACAGTTTGGTTTTTCTCAGTTTTCCTATCCAGTTTTCCCAGCATGACTAGTGACTCAATCTCATCCTTTATTTTGATGTCTATTGTATAATAAAGGTCCACATGCACATACATTCACGTCAGCTAGTCTACACTCTACATCTCTGCCCTCACGTCAGCATCACACTCTTTTGCTCATTAATATCTATTGCCTGATATTTTGTCATAATGCTGATTGGGGAGCACTCCCTCCCCCCTCCCCCCACCTTCCATTCTTGTCTTCAAAGTTAACTTATACATTAGACTACACGTATCAGATTAGTAAGAAAATTCAACTAGAATTTTTATTGCTGTTATACTGAAGTTCCAGACTAATTTGGAATGAAAAGATATCTTGCCATTAATTGTATTTAAATTTACATTAAGGAATGTTTAAAGGATAATATAAATTTAAATGTTTGATATATAATATTATGATTATTAGTCAATTTTTCAAATTCGTATTTAAATTTACATTAAGGAATGTTTAAAGGATAATATAAATTTAAATACAATGTTTGATATATAATATTATGATTATTAGTCAATTTTACCAATTATCTTCAGGTCTTCATTTCCTGGAAATTTTGTTTAGCTTCTAGACAATGTTTTTCTGTTGTGATGATTGTCCTAGATTTAGGGACTTCATGAATTTTTGGGGCATTGGGAGCTAAGGAGGCCTTTCAGACTATGGCTTGGTTTTATGTGAGTTGAGGGTGATGCTCTTATTCTTTGATATCGAGGTCATTGCCTTGCTCATTTGGGTCTAGGCAGACGGGCAGTCCTCACCACACAGGATAGAATGTGTGTCCTGATGACCTAGCTCCTTTTGTTTTAAGTTCTTGAAATACGTTAGGGTGCAGAAGTTTTAAGGGAGCTAACTGCCTAAATCTCAACAATTCTTGGATCCTGAACACTGATTCCCCTTAGTCTGAAGCAGGGCTGTGTTTGTCTGGAAGCAGTGAGCTCATGCTGGGGAAAAGCTCAAAACAGCATCTCCTTGACCTCCTCCCTTATCTCTGCAGATTCCCAGGCTCTGAGCCCCTTTCCAGGCGAAGCTAAGCACCCACATTTTTGATTGCACATCCCTCTCTGTATCTAGATATTCTTTTACCAATCATTCAAACTTCTCTTGGAAGATCTTCTTTCCGGGTCTACACTTGCAGCCTCTGTCCCTTTTCATTATTGCTCTCTCAGTCCCTTCTATTCACAGCCACAGGTCTTTAACAGACCATTTATCATCATAGCCGCCAATTCATGTCCCTAGAGCCCACTGGAATGTGTGGCACAGGTCACCTAGAGCCCAATTTCCAAGTATAGGGGAACCTTTTAAGACCTTATTTGTCCTTTATGTTGACAACAGTCCCTTAAGCCTTCTTAGTTTCTCAGCCACCATGTTTCCTTTTTTGTCTTCTGTCATGGGACCGTTTCCTTTTGGTCACTTTCTGTTTTTTTGTTTGTTTGTTTGTTTGCCTTCTTGCTTATTATATGTCCACAGATCCTTCTTTTTGTCCTGTGTTGTCCTGCATGCTGTTATGAAATAAATTAACCCATGTCTGGTTTCAAAAACTAGTTTTATAATATGAGCAATGAGTTGTTCTTTAAGTACCAGAACTACAAACCAGGCTGAACCACATTCATCCCAAACTGGGCTCATAACTCCTGCCACCACTTTGCATTCTTTGGTGGCTGAGGGGCATCCCTTGTTCCCCAAGACAGACTCTTGGAACTCATCTGATACAATTTATTTTTTACTACTCTCAAATCTGTCCCCTAATCATCTTGCTCCAAGGGCATGGCTATGATCTTGCAAGTGGGTCCCAATTCTTTTCACCTCTTCAAACTGTAGCCCGAGGGATCTTTCTTATCTCTAAGTGTGGCCATCTTTTCACTGTGCTTAAAACTGTAGGGCCTCTCAGTGCCTGTCACAAGATGAGGCTAAAGAGTAACTCTCTAGTAGCCATGCCTTCCAGAGGATAAGAACCTAAGCATCAGTGTGGCTACAGGCTCCCTCTATCTAGGCCTGCCCACTGCTCTTTCATTGTGGAACTTCTGCTTCCTGGATAGCACATCGTACCATTTCCTGAGCAGTGACTGCTTTTTCAGCTTAGTGGGTGTTCCTGTCAGTCCTCCCTGGTCTGACTAAATTTCTAATACGATGTTGATGGACAGGTGACTTCTTAAAGTCCTTTCTGGATTTTTCCTCCCTCCTATCTCATACACTTTATGAATAGTATGTTTAATATTTGTATTTACTTTCCTATACTATTTTAATATGCCATTTGAACTAGATCCCAAGTTAATTTAACTTTTATATCTTGGCCACCTAGTATAACACCTGACATGGGCCTGTGGGGATGTTTTGAGGGTAGATGAGTATGTGCGTCTGTAGATGTTGGAAGACTGAAGAGTTCAACAATTTCAGTATATTTTTACACAGCATGATCTGAGTGAAATTCTGAATTCCTGAAGTATTGCTTTAAGAAGGGAATTTAAGAAGGGAAAATTGAGGATATTTGCTTCTCAGTTACACAAAATCTACTTGTTGCTCATTATAAACTTAAATTTAACTGGAAGTGGGTATTTTTATTTACTAAATCTGTTCACCCTGCTTCTGAAGGCACTTCAGTTTTAAATCCATATTGAATTGGATATGCTGGTGGGTGTGCCTCTCAGTATTTGTTGCCCTTTGTTCAGTGAATAATTCTTCCATTATCCTTCTACCTCGGAAAGGAAAGTGCAAGGCCCTTTACAGTTTGGAATCAAGGGCCCAGAACTCTTCTGAGAAGCCAGGGAATGAGACTGGGAGATGCTGGTGCCAATTTCAGACATTGTGAACAAAGAGGTCACTGCTGTGTTGCTCACTGTCGCCCCACTCTGGTGGCTTTTTTCTTCCCATTAGCTTGTGACCAATCCTGTAAGAGTTGTGGCCCCAGTAGTCCCAGATGTCTCACCTGTACTGAGAAGACAGTGTTGCATGATGGGAAATGCATTTCTGAGTGCCCTGATGGATACTATGCTGATGCCACTGGAAGATGCAAAGGTATGAGATCTGTTATCACCACCATCATCATCACCACCACCACCATCACTAACATCATCAGAAGTATTTAATGTGTATTTGGCGGCATTTGGTATCACCTGCTTCTCATTGCTAATTGGTGTATTCAGGAAACAGGTTACTTTAAAGGGACAACTTTTTCATAATAGAAACTTTGTGTCTTCTGTGCAAGAGGAGAGTGTGGGAATGGTAGATATGAGTGCATCTCCTGGGATAGGGTAAGTACATGTAAGCCTCACGTCTGTCATTCATCCCCAGAGATCATTTGCTCTGTTTGAAATGTCAAGAAGATCTTTAAAAAGCAGCCCTCATGAGCTTGTAAACTGGTGCTAACCTGTGTCAGTGATGACAAAATCATTCCTTCTCTGGCATTTATAAACTCATATCATCAGTGACAGAGCATGACAAAAGTTACATAAAAAAGAAAACTGAGTTTGCTAGCCAGTAAAGCTCGAGTCTGCCTCCACTAAAAATTTCTTTTTATCAGCAATTTGTGTAATGGTTCTTTTAGATTGGTAAACTCATGAATCATTGCCATTTGAGACTGTTTCAGTTTCTATAGGCTTGACTTGGGTCTCTTCCTTACAGACCTCTAAGAAGGCATGGTGCCCCACACAACTTGCTTGCCCCTCCTCTCTGAAACTCACTCTGAGGCAGTTCTTACTTCTATTCCAGTGCCTTTTAGAACAGAGTATTTGAGCTCAGACACCTGCATCTCTTTATCAAACTCCCTTTGTCTGCTGACCTCTCTGTGGACTAAAGTTCATCACTTTTCCTCAACCCCAAGGTTCTCATCCATCCCCTGCCTCCCCACACTTGGCTCTGAACCACTATCCTCCTGAACTTTTGCCTGTATCTATCTCACTGCTGTCCTGAGAGGTTCTGAAGGCTCATCCTGGGCCATGTTCTCGGGATCTAGTTAACACAGAGTAAAGCATGGGCTTGGTGGGAGGGGTCCCTAACATTGTCTTGTATATGAGTCAGACTCTTTCGTGCAATGATGTAATTCTTAGGAGCATAGACACCAAAGCTAGACATATGTTCAGTCACCATCTAGCCCACCCTCTGGACCTGGACTGAACTAGGCTTGGGCTAAGAGGAATCCTAGGATATGAATTGTTCACTTTTCTTGTTGTCCAGATAGGGAGGCTTAGATTGCCACAAACAACATCCCAGCTTTGCTCTGAATGAGCTCTGTGATCTTGGGTTAAGAGAACCAGAGGAGGGTGGTGTGGAACAGAGGGAGGGGTAAGGTTGGAGAGAGAGAGAGAGAGAGAGAGAGAGAGAATGTGTGGGGTGGTCAGAGGTCAGCTTTAGTTCTTCAGAAACTGTATACCTTGATTTTTGAGACAAGTCACTGGCCTGGGGATCTGCTCACCAATTTGGCTAGGCTGTCTAATGAGCCCCGGGGACCTGCTCGCATCCATTTTCATCCCAACACTGCAGCTACAAACATGCATTGCCACACCCACTTCTCATGTGGGGTCTCTGGACCTAATGCTTGCACAGAACATCTTTTAGTAACTTAGCTATCTTGCCAGCCCCTTGGGTAAATTTTAACCTCCCAAGGCCTCAGTTTCCCTAACTGTAAAATGTGGTTACCAATAACTACTTCCAAATGTTGTCATAGGACTAAAAAGTGCCATTGCATACAAAGCACTTAATGCAAATAAAGGGCACTGATAACAGGTAGGATATGGGTGAAGGATGAGTGTGGAGGGGAGGGGACAGTTCTGACGATGTAACCATCTGCCAACATGTTTCCTCTTTGGTGTGGTATGACACCAGGGGGGAAGATCAGCCGGGGATTGTCTCTGTGGTACCTGCAGCCTGCTGTACTTCTCTTTCCTCCTCAGTTTGTCATGTCTCCTGTGCCAGCTGCTCAGGACCTGCAGCTTCTCACTGTATAGCCTGCATCCACCCCCAGGCTCTCCATCAAGGACACTGCCTGCCAAGCTGTGGACAGGGCTTCTATCCCAACCATGGGGTCTGTGAAGGTATGGTTGGTTTCGCTGTCGTTCCTCATGCCCAATCACAAGGACACAAGTTAACTCCCCCCCCCACCCAAATACTGCTCTTCAGTACAACTTTCTTCTTGTGTGTCTTGAATGTTTACAAACACATCAGAGCCTGTGCCATCTCTCTCTGTTGGCTTTTGGTTCCATAACCCAAAATTCAACCACTGGCTGATCAAAAATATAAAGAAGAAATTCCAGAAATCTTCTCAAAGCAAAGTTTCAACCCGCTCCATGTACATGATATGTGCCAATGTTATATTAAGTACTTACTGAATCTGAGATCAGGTGTACATGTGAGCAGGTGTAGGCTATATGCAAATGCCAGGCCAATTTATTTTATTTTATTTTATTTAGAAAAATACTTTTTATTATTTAAATTAGAAACAAGCTTGTTTTACGTGTCAATCCCAGTTCCCTCTCCCTCCCCTCCTCCCCTAGCCCCCAACGACCCCCTATCCCATCCCCTTTCTGCTCCCCAGGGAGGGTGAGGCCTTCCATGGGGGATCTTCAAAGTCTGTCATATCATTTGGAGCAGGGCCTAGACCCTCCCCAGTGTGTCTAGGCTGAGAGAGTATCCCTGTTTATGGAATGGGTTCCCAAACTGCATTCATGTACAAGAGATAAATACTGATCCACTAGCAGAGGCCCCATAGATTAAACAGACATCCAAACTGTCATCCTGTTCAGGGGGTCTAGAACAGTCCTATGCTGGTTTCCCAGGTATCAGTCTGGGGTCCATGAGCAACCACTTGTTCAGGTCAGCTGTTTCTTTGGGTTTCTCCAGCCTGGTGTGGACCCCATTTCTCATCAATCTTCCCTCTGTGCAACTGGATTTCAGGAGTTCAGACCAATTTATAAGAGACTTTGGTGTCCTCAAATTCCTGAGTCCAGTCCCCTGGAGGACGTGGGGATTCACCTGCCTGTGCTGTCTTCTTTTCATCTTAATAGTTTTATGAAGGGATGGTAATCTGAAGCATACATACACAGATGCACACACATACACACACACACACACACACACACACACACACACACACACACACACACCAAACCCATTTGAAAGTTCATGAGTTTCTGGCCATCCTTGTGGAATGTTATCTCTTTGAACATACATTGATTTTTACAACCCCCCCTCCACTTCTGGCCTTTCCTGCTATTGCTAATGTTTATAGACTTCATTTGCTGTTCCCTGAAGAACTTTTTGTTAATGACACTGCTAGCAGACTGAGAATCACTAGCAATGCCTCTGGCTGAGTGAAATAGAAAACCTTAAATTGCTGTTTGCCAAAAGGCTCTGGGCTCCTGGGGAGGGCAATAGCATTTGAGCCTTTTGAACATAGAGCATTGGGGGTGAGCCTTTAATTTAAAAAATTGTATTTGTTTGCACCTTGGAAAAGTGAAAATAGCAGAAGGGAAAATTATAGCAAACAAGCTTCATTAAGTGTTTGAAAGAAAGCAAGCATTTAGAGAATCTTTTTAAAGAACCAGTTAATTATATCAATATTTGGGCACAAGGAGGTTTGCATACAGTATTGGCTTAGGTTTTTAAGACTCACCAGGGAAAACAAAACCCTGTTATAGACTGGGAAGTTTTGTCCACACTCAAAGAAGGCCTCTTCCTTGTTTAGAAAGGCAGCTTCCCCCAGTAAATTCCAAGAAAACTCTGTTGCCTGGGCCTCTCCATATTGAATGATGGATGAGCATAATGGTCAGTCACACAACGACCAGTTTTGCACGGGGTAGAGTAACAGCCTCCGAACAAATGCGTCTGAAAATCTTCAATAAAAACCGAGGGCATGATGTTAAATGGTCGTTCAGTGAATGTGCTTCTCCAGAGAGCCAAGCAAATATTGTCCAGTTTGCTGGGTTTTATTGTCATCCTTCCTGACAGCCCTTCTAGGAGCTGAGAGATGATTCTCATTTCCCCGTCCTCACTAACCCTCTCATAGCAGCATCGCCAGCTCTGTGCTTTGTGTGCAACACGAGAAAAATCCTCTTCTGCAAGAATGTCCTTACTGAACTTTCCAAGTGGTTCTGACCTCGGGAGAACTTACATTGATTGAAACACATACTTGATCTTTGAGTTGCTTTCTGTGTGTTATTCCAATTTGCAGCCTGCCATGCCTCCTGCCACACTTGTGTGGGTCCCAAGCCCTCTCAGTGTATGGAGTGTAAGAAGCCAGAGGCAGGACTACGGGTGGAACAGCACTCAGGAACAAATGTCCCCTATGGCGAGTGTGTGCCCCAGTGTGGATCCCACTTCTACTTGGAGAGCACTGGAAGGTGTGAAGGTAAGCTTGGTTGACAGACATGATGGCTGGTGAATTACCACTTAAAGATCCTAGGAGCCAGGGAGATCTCTGACTTCCTGTGAATGGGTTTCTTGGTCTTTGTGGTGAATCAGGAGGCTAGCATGGAAAAGAGTGACTCTGCTGATCTTCTCTGTCCTGTGAATCATAGATGACCTTCAAGAGCCCTAAGTCTGGTTCTCAGAAGATCCATCTGGAAATTTCTTCATAGAACTGTGTAGCTATCTAAGGAAGATTCCACTCTCACCTTCTAATCAGAACTCAAATAGGAATTTTTTCCTTTAGGGCAAAATTCAAATGGTAGTCAAGATTTTGAGGTTGGTCATGTTGTCACCTCTACATATTATCCATAGAGGGTTAATGGCATCCTAAATGCCAACTCAGTAGCTAGATTACCAGTGAGAGAGTCAGAAATGAAAGGCATGGCTTTGAGAGGTTGTGTGTGTGTATGGGGGGGGTCTTTTCCAATGCTGTCGTGTCTATATAGGAATTGTTTGGTTTATGCAACTGAAAGTGATATCGCATTACCAGTGTCGTGTAGTGAGTCTTGTAAAGGATGTTTCGATGTTAGGAAAAATAGCTTCCTTCTGCCCTAAACACCATAGCTTTTAGCATTCTGCTGTAGTACTCTGAGTCTTTTGTTCTTTTGTTGGCTTTAAGGGTTTCTTTGCCACTGTAAGCACACTGCAGATTTGACCTTGTTCTTACCAACTTACAGTGAATTCAACTCCAGATTTGAATGAATGCTCACTGAAATGCATGGATTGAAAGTTAGGGTGAATATTTTAGACATCGCACAGCACAGTCAGAAGTGTGTAGACTTAGACTCCAGATACCCAGACCCCTGACCTCTCTGAGCTCTGCCTTCACAACACTCAAAGTGTAATTGTCTTCTGCACAGGCACTGTGCCAGGATGGAAGAAGCTTGGAAATATACAGTTTCTGGATAATTTGAAGTCCCCTTGCTTAATTGCTAGAAATAGAGGGCCATATACTCAGGTGTTCAGGTACATTGTAGAGGTGAACCCTTGCTTCCAGAAAGGTGCAGAGTTCAGGGGTTTACATGGGGCCCAGAAACTTCACTATTCTTCATATGTTCTGACTTCCATCCAAATGTGTGTGGATGTGTGTGTGTGTGTGTGTGTGTGTGTGTGTGTGTGTGTGCGTGTATTATACATGCATTGCCCAAGTTCTATGGTCTTAAAAATCTATTTCTGTTTCCCCCAACCACCTGTGAAATATAGGAATCATTTACGATACTGTGTGTCCTGATGCCATCCCAGGGCACTTGCAGTGCAGCCTTCTCCATGTGACTTGGTCCTTTCTGTGTACTTTGATGGAGAGTTATGCATCTACTTTCTTAGGGACCCACTTGACCTGAGAGTTGGGATGAAGGAACACTTTCTACTCTCCTGTTAAACTGCTACTCAAACCTCTTCAGTGGTTTTGGGTTCACCAGATGAGCTCCTACTGAGAAGCACTACCCCTGAGGACATCAACAGACATCTCCTCTCCCCAGATGAGGAACTGATGACAAACCAATGTAAAGATGCCACCAGAGTCCAACTTCTTAAACCAGTGCATTTTATTTGTGTTACTTACAGGGCTATGGGTGAGGGGTTAGGAATTACTCAAAAGCAGCTGCATCACCAAAGGCCCCCTGCTCCTCCCTCAGCATGGACGATGACTGGAACCCTGGAGTTCATTGTACTTGTAGGCAACTTGACAAGTTGGAGAGACTCTGCCTTTCCTAGGCAGCTTACTAGTCTCTGCTTTGTCCATACAACTCAGCTGGCCTACTTCTCTCCAAGCAGTTCAGATGATCTCAGGGTGCCTCTCAGCTGTTTTTACTGCTTACAGAGGTTTGGAGAGGGAAGGGCTTAATACGTCTGGTAAATTTCAGGGAATTCCTGAAGCTTCTAAGTGTTTACTTCCTGATGCCTAAGGAGGCTCCCTTTAGAACATTGGTTCTCAATGCTGCTGCCCTTTAACTCTGTTCCTCATGCTGTGGTGACCCTCAGCCACAAAATTATTTTCATTGCTACTTTATAACTGTAATTTTGCTACTGTTATGAATCATAATGTAAATATTGGTGTTTTCTGATGATCTTGGATTATCCCTGTGAAAGGGTTGTTCGACCCCCAAAGGGGTTGAGGCCCACAATCTGAGAACCACTGCTTTCAAACAGCATGAGTTTTAATGGGTTTCCCTGTTGGAGGGAATGTTTCCTCCCTTTACAACATCCCGAGTCTTACCTAGCTCCCATCCAATATGGAACATATCAACTCAGAGGAAATTGTTATGCAAAAGCTTCCTTATGGTCCCTGCTTTTTAGAAAATTCCCAGCACCCTAAGAGACATTAAGTATAATGCATAGCCCTGCCTTCTGGGAAAGTACAGAAGGAAACAACAGAAAGAGAAAACATCTTCTTCCTCTTTCTCCTTCTACCGTCTCCTCCCTCTCCTCTCCTTCTCCCCACCCTGCCATCTTTACAGAAGTGTTTTATGATGTGTTGGGATCTGAGAAACTGGTCTGTGTGGTTCCACATGTCCAGCTGGGGACCCTGTGCCCTGAGGTCTCAGTAGAAAGGAAACAGACCTCAATGAATACAGATCTTTTTAAATGCAGATACTGTGTGAGATTCTTGGTTTTCCTAGGAATTGTATAGATGCTGGACAAACCCCAGTTCACCCTGCCAAGAGACTATGAATTTTTCCCATGGGTCTCACAATCCCAGGAGAAACTAGGACAGGAAAAAAATCCAGTCTGTGCATAATTATCACCTCATAGTTTTGAGCATTATTATTGAAAATAAAAGACAGAATTTGGAGTTCAAAAGATTGAAGTGAAGTGATCAACATTTTCGAGAGTTAGAATTTTAAGCAAACAAAAAAATTGTATTTAGTGATGTTATTTGGCTGGGAGAATAACAATTGCACCATGAGAAATTACTTGGTTTTTTTTTTTTGTTGTTGTTGTTGTTGTTTTGTTTTGTTTTATCACTGCATCCTTACACTGGCCTTTGGGGACAGGTAAGAGAGAGCTATGTGCTAAGAGAAGAAACCAAGACTTAGGGAAGTTCTAGGTTGTGACTTACTTTAAATTACACTGGCAGCACGAAGTGTGGGTGGGTGGAACATAAGTCAGGGGACTTCAGTGTCTGTGCTTGTAACTACTGGGCCACAGAGCAAGAGAAGCATAGTACACCAGTGTGGCTTGCTGGGGTTTCTTCAGTTTTCAAGGGCATCCTTGGCAAACAAAAGTGTCCCAGGACCCCTGTTATATAGGCATCTTTTAGAAGATACTAGACTCCAATCCCTCTGGGATGACTTAATAGTGGTCAAATATAGAAAGACTGCCATGACCTCTTGAGTCCCTGGTAGCCCATGATTGTCTGCTCGTTAGCATAATAATGTTAGGTATCCCACACACATTGTCTGCTCACATTATGAGCAAATCCCTGTGCAGTCCCCACCAGGATCGCTGCTGAACTCAACTCTTACGTGACCGGAATGTGGCAGAAAGAGGTTAATTGAGTTGCCCAGGATTCCGCTGGGAAGCTTGAGTGTAACTTCCCATTGTTTCCAGCCTTACCTGAGTACCAAGTGAGCTGACTGATAGGTTTCCTGCCACGCATTCTGCATCTTTGCAAACCTTCCCACGACCTGTTCCATTTTCATTGCTGCTGAAGTGGTGTCTATCAAATCCATCCTGTGAGTCCTGTGAGATTGGATGGGTCTCCATTTCCCACACCTTCCCAGGTAGGGCACCTTCATGAGTGCTAGTTTCTGGAACTCTCTCTTCCTCTTTTCTTGTGGACTGCAGCATGGGGTGATCAGAATGATACTGTGGATAATGAAAGAGAGAAGAAGAAGCATTACGAGAGAGAGAGAGAGAGAGAGAGAGAGAGAGAGAGAGAGAGGAGAGAATGAATTAGCAACCATTGAACACAGTAAACACTGCTTCCTAGAAGCTCTTCCCTTATTTATTCTTTACACAATTGTTGATTGAATGGCCCTTTTGGGTGCCAAACTATTCTAAACTCAAGAAGCGTCCAATCCCTTGAGTCAAGTCAAAATTCCTGTTCCTATGCAAAGCATATTCTTGTGGGAGAAACAAAATGAATTAATGAATGAATGACAATAATAACTTATTGTGCTGTATACTTTTGGATGGTGAGCCAGGCTATGAGGTTCATGGCAAGGCACTGATTGAGAAATGGGCTGAGGTGGCCCAACAACAGAAGGGTTCTGAAGAAGTAGAACTAACTATCTCTGTGTGCTTGTCTGTGGTTTTGGCTTATTGCTCACCAGGGAGCTGGGCCGGTCAGGAGAGAGGACTTTCAATTGTGTTTCTTTGTTCCATAGTCTCTTGTGTTTCCAAGTATGGATAGAAAGGCTGGTGCAAAAGAGTCTGTTACTAACTGAGAAAGATGTATTGGAGGCGTTGTAGTCATCAACCAAAATTGTGCATTTGCATTAGATATCACCATTTAGGATTAGTGAAAAGAAGTATCCAGAGTTACTTCACATGTTCAACTGAGGGTTCACCAGTACTGCCAGATTGAAGTTTCTTAAGAAAGAAAGTGGGGAATAGAAAAAAGAAATAATCCATGCTCACCCTCGCCAGTAAAACTAAACAAAGTTTTTTTGGAATGGAAACCTTCCCTAAACAACATTACTAAAGCATCTCTAGCTTTGGCGTCCATCTTTCCCACTGCTTTCGCAGGCCTCTGTTAGTTAATCCAAGCAGCCATGGGATGTTGGAAAGAAGCAGCTCAGAGTTAAATAGGGGTGCTCCATGTGTTCCAGCAGAAGATGAAGTTTCTCAGGAATAAGTCTTTTTCTTCCAACTGTGTGAATCTCTCCTTTGTGTTGAGTAGAGGCACACAGTTTAAGGCCAGGTCATCCAATTAACGATGCAGTGCAGCCGCTGTTAAACAGCTTGCCCATGGTGATGAGGACAGGCTGTGAACATGGC